TAATTGTGCTTGCGGGGGTTGAGCTTTGGCTCTTTGGGCCCGCCTCTCGACTGTCAATCAACTGGTGTACAGATTCCTGAGCCTACTGGGGCTCTATCATATCTACATTTAAAACTGTGTATGGAGTCAGCCTCCACCACATCTCTGCCTAATGCATTCCACCTGTTAACTACTCTGACACTGAAAAGGTTCTTTCTAACATCCCTGTGGCTCATTTGGGTACTCAGTTTCCACCTGTGTCCCCGTGTTCGCATCCTGTTAGTGTTGAATAGTTTATCCTTGTCTACCCTGTCAATTCCCTTGAGGATTTTGTAGGTAGTGATCATGTCTCCCGTCACTCTTCTGTCTTCCAGTGTCGTAAGGTGCATTTCCCGCAGTTTTTCCTCGTAACTCATGCCTCTTAGTTCTGGGACCAGTCTAGTGGCATACCTCTGAACTTTTTCCAGCTTCGTCTTGTGCTTGACAAGGTGCGGGCTCCATGCTGGGGCCGCATACTCCAGGATTGGTCTTACGTATGTGGTGTACAAGATTCTAAAAGATTCCTTACACAGGTTCCTGAAGGCTGTTCTGATGTTAGCCAGCCTTGCATGTCCCGCAGACGTAATTCTTCTTATGAGGGCTTCAGGAGACAGGCTTGGTGTGATATCAATTCCTAGGTCTTTCTCTGTTTCCGTTTCATTAAGTACTTCATCTCCTATTCTGTATCTTGTGTCTCGCCTCCTGTTTCCACCGCCTTTCCACTTTAACAGCTATTTGTTGGACCAGCCGGGCTGTGGTGGGTATGTGGCCCTGCGAGCCGCTCCAAGCAACAGCCTGGTGGACCAAACTCTCACAAGTCGAGCCTGGCCTCGGGCTGGGCTTGGGAAGTAGAACAACTCCCAGAACCCCATCAAACAGATATCAAGCAGGTGACCATTCATTCAGTCTGTCTGGGTCGTCCTGTAGCCTCCTACTATCATCCTCTGTTTCAATCCTCATAATTTTTGCATCATCAGCAAACATTGAGAGAGACAATTCTATATCCTCTGGGAGATCATTTACATATATCAGAAACAGTATTGGTCCAAGGACTGATCCCCACTTGTGATGTCACGCCAATCCGAGACCTCACCCCTCACAGTAACTTGTTGTCTTCTGTTACTTAGGTACTCCCGTATCCAACGGAGTACCTTCCCTTTCACTCCAGCCTGCATCTCCAGCTTTCTCACTAGCCTCTTGTGTGGTACTGTATCAAAGGCTTTTTGACAATCCAAAAATATCCAGTATACCCACCCCTCTCTTTCTTGCCTGACCTGTTTTGTTGCCTGGTCATAGAATTCAATGTTATACACTATGGAGAGTGGCAGGCACAGTGCTTCTGCTCCTTCCTTTAGTATCCAAGGGGAGATTCCATTTGGGCCTATAGCCTTTGTCACATCCAACTCTAGTAAACACACCTTTACTTCCCCACGGGTAATATGAAACACTTCTAGTGGTGTGTGTGTGTGTGTGTGTGTGTAATTACCTAAGTAATTACCTAAGTGTAGTTACAGGATGAGAGCTACGCTCGTGGTGTCCCGTCTTCCCAGCACTCTTTGTCATATAACGCTTTGAAACTACTGACGGTCTTGGCCTCCACCACCTTCTCACTTAACTTGTTCCAACCGTCTACCACTCTATTTGCGAAGGTGAATTTTCTTATATTTCTTCGGCATCTGTGTTTAGCTAGTTTAAATCTATGACCTCTTGTTCTTGAAGTTCCAGGTCTCAGGAAGTCTTCCCTGTCGATTTTGTCAATTCCTGTTACTATTTTGTATGTAGTGATCATATCACCTCTTTTTCTTCTGTCTTCTAGTTTTGGCATATTTAATGCTTCTAACCTCTCCTCGTAGCTCTTGCCCTTCAGTTCTGGGAGCCACTTAGTAGCATGTCTTTGCACCTTTTCCAGTTTGTTGATGTGCTTCTTAAGATATGGGCACCACACAACAGCTGCATATTCTAGCTTTGGCCTAACAAAAGTCATGAACAATTTCTTTAGTATATCGCCATCCATGTATTTAAATGCAATTCTGAAGTTAGAAAGCATAGCATAGGCTCCTTGCACAATATTCTTTATGTGGTCCTCAGGTGATAGTTTTCTATCTAGAACCACTCCTAGATCTCTTTCTTTATCAGAATTCTTTAAAGATTTCTCACATAATATATAGGTTGTGTGGGGTCTATGTTCTCCTATTCCACATTCCATAACATGACATTTATTAACATTAAATTCCATTTGCCAAGTGGTGCTCCATATACTTATTTTGTCCAGGTCTTTTTGAAGGGCATGACAGTCATCTAAATTTCTTATCCTTCCTATTATCTTAGCATCATCAGCAAACATGTTCATATAATTCTGTATACCAACTGGTAGATCATTTATGTACACAATAAACATCACTGGTGCAAGAACTGAACCCTGTGGTACTCCACTTGTGACATTTCTCCATTCTGATACATTGCCTCTGATTACTGCCCTCATTTTTCTATCAGTCAGAAAATTTTTCATCCATGATAGAAGCTTACCTGTCACCCCTCCAATATTTTCCAGTTTCCAGAACAACCTCTTATGTGGAACTCTGTCGAAAGCCTTTTTTAGGTCCAGATAGATGCAGTCAACCCAACCATCTCTTTCCTGTAATATCTCTGTGGCTCGATCATAGAAACTGAGTAAATTCGATACACAGGATCTTCCAGATCGAAAACCATACTGTCTGTCTGATATTATATCATTTCTCTCTAGGTGTTCTACCCATTTAGTTTTGATTAGTTTTTCCAATACTTTCACTATTACACTTGTTAATGATACAGGTCTATAATTGAGGGGGTCTTCCCTGCTGCCACTTTTGTAGATTGGAACTATGTTAGCCTGTTTCCACCCGTCTGCTACGATTCCTGTACACAGGGATGCCTGAAAGATCAGGTGAAGTGGAATGCTGAGCTCAGATGCACATTCTCTCAGAACCCATGGTGAAACGCCATCTGGGCCAGCTGCTTTGTTCTTACCGAGCTCCTTGAGCATTTTTTCCACTTCGTCTCTAGACACCTCTATGTGTTCTATGTTGTTCTCTGGAATTCTTATTGTATCTGGTTCCCTAAAGATTTCATTTTGTACAAACACACTTTGGAACTTTTCGTTTAGTGTTTCACACATTTCCTTTTCATCTTCCGTGAATCTATTTCCCATTTTCAACCTCTGAATATTATCCTTTACCTGCAATTTGTTGTTTATGAATTTATAGAATAGACCTGGTTCTGTTTTACATTTGTCCGCAATCCCTTTTTCAAAATTTCTTTCTGCCTCTCTCCTCACTGCCGTGTAGTTGTTTCTCGCATCTTTGTATCGCTGGTATGTTTGGGGGTTCGGCCTCTTCCTGTATTGATTCCATTTTTGTGTCTTTCGGTCTCTAGCCCTCTCGCAATTTCTATTGAACCAATCCTGTTTCCTAGTTCTGCATCTCTGTTTTGGTATAAATTTTTTTGTGCCTTTATCATATATTTCACAAAACTTGCCATACATCTCATTCACTTCCTTGCCTAGCATCAAGTCTGTCCAATTATACTCACTAAAAAAATTTCTAAGGTCACCATAATGTCCTCTCCTGAAGTCTGGTTTTTCAACTGCTTCAACCTCCTTATTTTCTTCCAGCTTATAACGCATTGCATACTTTATTCCCAAAAAGACATGGTCACTTTTACCCAAGGGAGGAAGGTACTGAATGTCAAATATCTCTTCCTCCTTCCTGGTAAATATCAAATCTAGCATGGAGGGAACGTCCCCTTCCCTCATCCTCGTAGCTTGTTTAACATGTTGATACAAGAATGTTTCCAGGATGAGGTCTACAAATTTACAGGTCCAAAAATCTTCTGTTTTAGCTTCATATGCTTCCCAGTCTATGGATTTCAAGTTGAAGTCACCGACTATCAACAGTCGTGATCTATCGTTATCCGCTCTCGCTATAATCTCTCTCATTATTGTTATAAGACCTTCACGTTTACTATCTAGCTCCTCCTTTGACCATGTGCTGCTTGGCGGTGGACTATATGCATTTATCATCATTAGTTTATCATCCTCATAGCAGATCTCTAGTGCTATTATGTCAACTTCTTGTGGATTGGCAGTCATTATTTCCTTCACCTTTAGGTGTTCTTTTACAAGCACAGCAACGCCACCGCCTTTCCTAATTTTTCTGTCCCGTCTCCAAATTGAGTAGCCCCGGGAATATGACCTCATTAAAATTACATCTTCAAGTTTTGTCTCCGTGAGTGCAACAATGTCTGGTGTCTGTGTTCCCCCTCTCCTTATTCTTCACTCCCCCTCTCTCTATTGATTTTGTTGGTTTGCCTTTATGTACCACTTTACTGGTTTGCCTACCCCTATCACTTTGTAGAAAAAAGAATTTATTTCTTCTTCATTCCTGCTCTCATTTAAATGTTTTGCCTCGGCGAGGTTCAGTTTCAGCTTCTCTCTATCTTCTTTTGAAAGATCTCGTCTTAATGACCACCCTTTCCCATCCTCATCCCTTTGCAATTTTCTAGCATTCCTTAGTACTTCTTCCATCTGTTTGGCACCGTTTAGGGTGATCCTCAAAGGTCGATCTTTCCCTTTTACGTACCTGCCTATTCTCCTGTAGTCGCACACATTCTCTCTGTTTGTAAGACCTTCCACGAGGCCAACAATTTTATCTACTACTTTAGCTTCTTCTACAGCTCTTTCTGACCTAGATGTTATCGCCTTTTCTTTGCAGCCAAAAAAGCTTTGTGTGTGTGTGTGTGTGTGTGTGTGTGTGTGTGTGTGTGTGTGTGTGTGTGTGTGTGTTCCTGCTTCCTGTGTATGTGTCTGGTCCTGTGTCCTGTGTGTATTTTGAATTGAATATTGATTTTCGTATGAATTCTACATCTAGATGAGGACAGTTTTTTTTACACGGTCAATTATATTTCTGGGATGGCTTAAGATTAGTTTGATGATGCTTATGTTTCAGGAACGTCTATTGCTATCTGTGTTGCCTCAACACGTGGCCATGGAGATGAAAGCGGACATCATCAAGCCAGTGGAGGGACAGTTTCACAAGATCTACATCCAGCGACATGAAAACGTCAGGTAAGCATCAGTCTCACCTTAATTTCCCCTCGTACTGTAATTGGGTACATTCTGCGGCATTAATATATAGCCCGCTTAAAACAGGAGTAGTAACTCTTGTGGGAAAGAGAGTATTGATAAAGAGAGTATTGATTGATTGAAGAAGATTAAGCCACCCAAGAGATGGCACGAACATGAATAGCCTGTATGGAAAGAGAGGGCTGAGGATGATGGGGAAATAGGTGCAGTTCACCTGATCATGCCAATGCCGAGAACTGAATGGCAATTGGGGTTAAAATGTGGTAATTATTTATAAATTGGAAACTTATTGGCACGGCATGAAATTATTTGGCAATCATTTTCAAAGTTTACCTCAAGCTGATGTATTGGTGGTAACCTGAAGAATTAGTACAAAAGAGGTTGGTTATTTCCTTAATATCATTGCAATCATGCATAGTGCAACATTTCTAATTGTATCTAATGAATATTGATTATATGGGTAATACCATCCAGTGAAGTACCATCTAGTGCATGAAATCACGGGTCATTACTGCTTGTGACTGCCAGAAGATAGAAAGAAAAGAGAGGATATGATCACCACTTGCAAAATAACAACAGGAATCTACCAAAGAGACAAAGGAATTCCTAAAACCAGCAACTTCAAGAACAAGAGGACATAGATTTAAGCTAAGGAAAAGCAGAGGTGCAATAGTTACGCTGAGGGAGAACTATCAACATCAAGGGCCCGTGATATTTACCAGGAAGGAGGAAGAAATATTTGACATTCAGTACCTTCCTCCCTTGGGTAAAAGTGACCATGTCTTTTTGGGAATAAAGTATGCAATGCGTTATAATCTGGAAGAAAATAAGAAGGTTGATGCAATTGAAAAACCTGACTTTAGGAGAGGACATTATGACAACCTTAAAATTTTTTTTAGCGAGTATAATTGGACAGACTTGTTGCTAGGCAAGGAAATGAATGAGATGTATGTCAAGTTTAGTGAAATATATGATAAAGGCACAACATTTTTTATACCAAAACAGAGATGCAGAACTAGGAAACAGGACAGGTTCAGCAGAAATTGCGAGAGCCAGAGACCAAAAGACACAAAAATGGAATCAATACAGAAAGAGGCCGAACCCCCAAACATACCAGCGATACAAAGATGCGAGAAACTACACGGCAGTGAGGAGAGAGGCAGAAAGAAATTTTGAAAAAGGGATTGCAGACAAATGTAAAACAGAACCAGGTCTATTCTATAAATTCATAAACAACAAATTGCAGGTAAAGGATAATATTCAGAGGTTGAAAATGGGAAATAGATTCACGAAAAATGAAAAGGAAATGTGTGAAACATTAAACGAAAAGTTCCAAAGTGTGTTTGTACAAAATGAAATCTACAGGGAACCAGACACAATAGGAATTCCAGAGAACAACATAGAGCACATAGAGGTGTCTAGAGATGAAGTGGAAAAAATGCTCAAGGAGCTAAATAAGAATAAAGCAGTTGGCCCAGACGGAGTTTCACCATGGGTTCTGAGAGAATGTGCACCTGAGCTCAGCATTCCACTTCAACTGATTTTTCAGGCATCCCTGTTAACAGGAGTTGTAGCTGATGTGTGGAAAAAGCCTAACATAGTTCCAATCTACAAAAGTGGAAGCGGGGAAGACCCCCTTAATTATAGACCTGTATCATTGACAAGTGTAATAGTCAAAATATTGGAAAAAATAATTAAAACTAAATGGGTAGAACACCTGGAGAGAAATTATATAATATCAGACAGACAGTATGGTTTTTGATTTGGAAGATCCTGTGTATCGAATTTACTCTGTTTCTATGATCGAGCAACAGAGATATTACAGGAAAGAGATGGTTGGGTTGACTGCATCTATCTGGACCTAAAAAAGGCTTTCGACAGAGTTCCACATAAGAGGTTGTTCTGGAAACTGGAAAATATTGGAGGGGTGACAGGTAAGCTTCTAACATGGATGAACAATTTTCTGACTGATAGAAAAATGAGGGCAGTGATCAGAGGCAATGTATTGGAATGGAGAAATGTCACAGGGTTCAGTTCTTGCACCAGTGATGTTTATTGTCTACATAAATGATCTACCAGTTGGTATACAGAATTATATGAACATGTTTGCTGATGATGCTAAGATAATAGGAAGGATAAGAAACTTAGATGATTGTCATGCCCTTCAAGATGACCTGGACAAAATAAGTATATGGAGCACCACTTGGCAAATGGAACTTAATGTTAATAAATGCCATGTTATGGAATGTGGAACAGGAGAACATAGACCCCACACAACCTATATATTCTGTGAGAAATCTTTAAAGAATTCTGATAAAGAAAGATATCTAGGGGTGGTTCTAGATAGAAAACTATCACCTGAGGACCACATAAAGAATATTGTGCGAGGAGCCTATGCCACGCTTTCTAACTTCAGAATTGCTTTTAAATACATGGATGGCTATATACAAAAGAAATTGTTTACGACTTTTGTTAGGCCAAAGCTAGAATATGCAGCGGTTGTGTGGTGCCCATATCTTAAGAAGCACATCAACAAACTGGAAAAGGTGCAAAGACATGCTACTAAGTGGCTCCCAGAACTGTAGGGCAAGAGCTATGAGGAGAGGTTAGAAGCATTAAATATGCCAAAACTAGAAGACAGAAGAAAAAGAGGTGATATGATCACTACATACAAAATAGTAACAGGAATTGATAAAATCGATAGGGAAGATTTCCTGAGACCTGGAACTTTAAGAACAAGAGGTCAGATTTAAACTAGCTAAACACAGATGCCGAAGAAATATAAGAAAATTCACTTTCGCAAACAGAGTGGTAGACGGTTGGAACAAGTTAGGTGAGAAGGTGGTGGAGGCCAAGACCGTCAGTAGTTTCAAAGCGTTATATAACAAAGAGTGCTGGGAAGACGGGACACCACGAGCGTAGCTCTCATCCTGTAACTACACTTACGTAATTACACTTAGGTAATTACTTTTCAACACACTCCCACTACAGGTAAGGAGCATAACTGGCCAGCCTCTCACAGTGATCAAGAGACAACTAGACAAGTACCTCCAAAGAATACCTGATCAACCAGGTTGTGATTCATACATCATGCTGCGAGCAGCCGCGTCCAACAGCCTGGTTGACCAAACCATCAACGTGGAGACCTGGTGGGAGATTAAGCCACGGGGCCTTTGATCCCCGGAACCTCCACAAAGTAAGACATTTCAAACTACTCAGTTTGATGTAGGGGGAAAAAAAATTCTAATTATTTCATTTTTGCTATTGTGAGGTGAATAAATGTTGACATCATATTCTGAAAACAAATTTTGAAGTAAACTACTTGCAGTAGATTTTTCTTTATCACAATTATCTAACTTGTCCATAAAAGACCTTGAAATTTTACATAGCATCAGTGTTAACGTGCTTAGACATCAATAAATGGATGATAATGCACTCAAAATGGTGCCAGTTTTTCTAATAATGCCCAGTAATATAGCTTATGCTTTCACATTTTTTCCCAATATGGCAAATGATTGCCAGAGGTCTCTGGTATTGAATGACATCCAAATAAAATATTTAGGAACTTTGAATAATAAGAGGCACATAAATTGTTCACAAAAAACATGAGCGTCATGGGTCAATTGTTTTAGAACGACAGGATTGATGAAGATTAACCCATCTGAGAGGTGGCATGGGCATGAATAAGTGGTAGATTTTTTGTAGTGAATATGATCTTTGGTCGTGAAGGGATATACAGTATTGTGTAATGAGCTCACAAATGACAAGAGCAGTTTAATGGTTAATTATAGAAGGCGCACCTGATGGGTAGTGATGTTGGCAAGCTGCCAAGTCTGGCGGTACCCCACCACCACCTTATCTTTTTATTGATGGTCGCTAATGGCACAACCTTTTAATGGCTCCTGTCACTTGTCTTTTAGCAACTACATTAGAAATAATGTAGCAGCTACTGAAACTTTCCAGGAATTCCACATACTACAAATGAACCCAAACAATTCCACATACTACAAATGAACCCAAACAATTCCACATACTACAAACAACGTCAAGGGGTTTCCCATTAACTAATTAACGAACAGCCTTGCTCTAAACCTAGTCAGAGTGGGATGTAAGACCATCTGACCACAGTATCAGGGATGTCTCGATACAACCCAGCCAGAAGCAAGATCACCTCTGATTTATTTCAACTGGCAGACTCACAACGAGCAGTCTCTCAACATGTCAGGGGGGCCTGACAGCTGAGTGGACAACCCTCGGGATTCGTAGTTCTGAGGTTCCGAGTTCGAGTCCCGGTGGAGGCGGAAACAAATGGGAAGAGTTTCTTTTTTCCTGATACTCCTGTTCACCTAGCAGTATAGTATATAGGTACCTGAGAGTCACAGCTGCCACGGCTGCTTCCTGGGGGTGTGTAACAAAAAGGAGTCCTGATCGAGGACTGGGTCACGGGGATGCTAAGCCCCAAAATCATCTCAAGATAACCTCAAGATAGCAGCCAGCAGTAAGATCGTAACGTCACGTCTTACTATCCTCAGTCCCACCAACCACGACAGGTTTCTTCTACCACTGGTGCACTAAAGCTTCACCTATGGTCGAAGACATTGCCATACCATGCATCAACCACTGCTGTAACCATTTACATAAAACATACATCTAGATACTATATTATGTTGTTCAAACTTGACATTACCGTTACACTGGTGATCCTGGAGTGACAAAAAACCCAGCCTTGACAGAAAGGATAAACCACAGTATGACTGCTCATGGCCTGCCACCACCCTCTAATGCTCCCTGTCCCTAATGTTAAACACCTGCACACTGTAACCCCTATAATGGTTGAGAAAGCTGTAAGAAAGCTAAAAAATGGGAGTTATGATAGCCCCTTTAACATGTACTCTGACAACCTTAAACATGGAATTCCATAACTGTGTTTTATCGATCTGTGTCTTTCGGACTTTCTCTCCCATGGTACATCGTTATCTATA